ATAAGGATCCCAGGGCTAGGGGCCGATACTAGGGGCCCATGGGTTCAACCTTGGACACACGAGCCGAACGCAACACTCCACTTATGACTCGGCTTTGGCAGGGCGAGCGTGTGATGGCAGATGCCTTGGGGTGTGGATTTTAGGGGTGAACTAAACCCCCTAACCCCAAACCTCTACACCCTAAACCCCTAAACCCTAAACCCTTAACCCTAAATTCCTAAACCCCTAACCCCTGAACCCTAAACCCCTAAACCCCAGAACCCCAAGCCCCTAAACCCCGAAACCCTAAACCACTAAACCCTAAACGTGGCTTCGGGCTTTGAGGTTTCGGCTTCAGGGCTCAGGGCTTCGGGTTTTCGGTCTATCTGAAACCTAGATAACATACCCAGAGATTCCAATATTCCTGAGAGTTTAGGGATTAATCAAGGAATATACCTTAAATTGTAGTAAGACTCCTAATATGGTTTAAGGTCAAGGGGTATTGGAGTCTCTGGGTAACTTCTTAGGGTTTCGTTCTATGCTCGCCTCATATACCCAGAGCCTCCCTGAATTAAGGAACATATCCTAAATTACAGGGAGACCCATAGTGTGATTCCGGGAGATTCAAGGTATATTTCATAATTATTAGGGTTTAGGGTTTAGGGTTTAGGGTTTAGGGTTTAGGGTTTAGGGTTTAGGGTTTAGGGTTTAGGGTGCTAAAGCCCCACCGTTTTGGGGTGTCATTTTATGTTTTCCTCATATACTCCCCTCATTAACCAGGCAGAACCTTTAGAAGCAGGGCATGAAGAGGAGGTTCACGGGACTTAGTCACTAGGGTTTGAAACAAGGCAACTATACTCATAAGTACATTTTACCACAATTCACGTACTTATAATAACTGTAGCATACTAAATCCCATGAACCTCCCTAAACCCTAAACCCTAAACCCTAAACCCTAAATCCTAAATCCTAAACCCTGAACCAAAACCCTAAACCCTAAACCCTAAACCCTAAACCCTAAACCCTAGCCGACGCCGCCGAGTTCGTGTGGTCCACCGGCGGGTGCAGGAAGTCCGGCGCCGGGCATCGGCATTTCCCAGAGAGGCCCGAGAGGCCCAGAAGTTTGCCCACGAACCGCTGTGGCTTAGGGCTTAGGGTTGAGGGTTTAGGGTTTCGGGTTTAGGGTTTAGGGGTTTAGGGGTTTAGGGGTTTAGGGGTTTAGGGTTTAGGGTTTAGGGTTTAGAGGGCTCCCCGAGGTCCTTGTTGGCGTACAGGCACGTGTTGAAGTCGGCGAACACATTGCCACCGTTGGCCTAAACCCTAAACCCTAAACCCTAAACCCTAAACCCTAAACCGATATCTTTCCAGCTCGCCACGGCCTCTGCTGTTCAACCCCAAAGGCTCCATGTACCTTTATAGGAGATACTTAAGCCCTAAAGTACCTATACAGGGATCCCTTTAAGGCTTAAGTAGCTACTATAAAGGTACATGGAGCCTTTGGGAACACAGAGCGCCTCGATGCATTGGCACTGTGCAGCCAGCCACGCCCAAAACCCTAGGGGTTTAGGGTTTAGGGTTTAGGGGTTTAGGGTTTAGGGTTTAGGGGTTTAGGGTTACCCTAAACCCTAAACCCTAACCCTAAACCCAAAGCCCTGGCCCTGGACCCTAAACCTTAAACCTTAAGATGCGGGCCTGTGGAGTTTAAGGCAGGGCTTCAGGTCTCCAAGATAACTTAGCAAAAGGGAAAGGTACGCATTTTTAAGGGTGGTATAAATAATTACCAATACTATTCTGGGGGCTCCCTATTAGAACTACAGTATCATGGGCCCCAAACCCTATTCTAACTTGTAAGGATCATCTTGCATTTTTCTCTTTATGCACTGACTGCTCCAGGTTGCGGTTTTAGAAAACCCTAAACCCTACACCGTTTTAGATGGTTTTTGACTTCACCTTCCAGGGCTGTGTTCTTTCAGGGTCCGGCCCCACAGTCGCAGTGCCAAGGTTTAGGGTTTAGGGAAAACTCGCATCCTTGCGTAGCGCTTAGAACTTAGGGTTCGTTGGTTCCAAGGTATGGGGTAGTGTGGAAGTCTAAATAGCTACCCATAGTACATGCATTACGGTTCCCGGCACCTTCCTTGCTAACTAACTAACTATACACCTTTATAATTCGCCCAAATTTGACCATTTCCTAGGCCCTAAACCCTAAACCCTAGGCCCTAAACCCTAAACCCTAAACCTGTAGTTTTCAAAGTAACCCTTTGGAAGGGCTCCCAAGATCTGAAGCGTGAGATGCGCACCATGTGATACTTGCCGTCTTGATGCACTCGGATGTTGTACCTTGCCAGCACGAGCTGCTTGCGAGAGAGAGAAAGAGAGAGAGAGAGAGAGATATATATATATATATATACCCTAAACCCTAAACCCTAAACCCTAAACCCTAAACCCTAAACCCTAAACCCTAAACCCTAGAGAGAGAGAGAGGCTTTGGGTTTTGGGGTTTAGGGTCAGACTCATGTAAATACATGCATGAAAGCAAGTAACTAGTAGGATTGTTTTTTAAATGAAGGTCCGTCAATAAGGCATCCCGGCTTCCCAAAATTCTACATGTTGAAGCCTGCAATATTCTTAATGAAAACCCTACGCTTGATCCGAAGAGCGAAACCCATACACCCTAAACCCCCTAATCCATAAACTGACTCCCAAAGCCAAGGCTCCGCACTCTCTTCGGGTTTAGGGCTTTGGGATGTTTGGGTTTACAGAGCCCGGAATAAGTTCAAATTGTCCTACATTCAACAAAGATGGAGTTTCATAATATGGAGGGACCTACTATGAAGGATTCTTGTTGCAGGGACGGCTTGTTGTAAGCAACTCCCATAAATAGCCCTCAGAAATTGAAATCTCTTCCTTTGCCTACGCCGCCTTACAGCGGCATTAGCCGAGAGGGAGTAGTGTAAGTATATGACTGCCCTGGTATCTCTTTCTGGTGGGACCAGAACTCGGCTGAGGGTTCACCAGGAAGAGCCGGCATGTCGCCCTAAACCAAAACCCTCGACACAAATTATTTGCAAAACCCTAAATTCAAAAAATACCCAAAACCTTAGGTTGGCACCCTAAACCCCGAAACGCGGATTTCATAAAATTATACCCTTCCACCCAAACCCTAAACGTAAGCCATAATTGCACTGAGCCGCTGCACGTGCGTGCTCTGACTCAACAAAGAGATGCGGGCTTTGATGACTCCCAAGCCTTGTGATTTAGGCTTTGGGGTGTGGGGTTTAGGGCCTAGGTCAGGGTTTTGGGTAGTGTGGGTTTGGGGTTTAGGGTAGTTGTGGGTTCAGGGTTTGGGGTTTAGGGTAGTTGTGGGTTTGGGGTTTAGGGTAGTTCTGGGTTTAGGGTTTGAGGTTTAGATTGTACAAGCATCCTATACTAAGGGTCCATGTACTCAAATAGTATATACTTTGGCCTGAATCCAGTCGATACTTCGGTACTTTGGGGCCAATGTATATACTATTTGGATACATGGACCCTTAGGGTAAAACCCTAAACCCTAAACCCCTAAACCCTAAACCCTTAACTCCCAAACCCTAAAGCCCTAAACCGTAAACCCCTAAACCCTAAACCCCCAAACCCTAAACCCTTAACCCCCAAACCCTCAACCCCCCACCCTCAACCCCTAAATCCCGAAACCCCCAAACCCTAAACCCTAAACCCTAAACCCCTAAACCCTAAACCGCTAAACCCTAAACCCCCAAACCCCTAAAACCCTAAAGCCCCAAACCCTAACCCCAAAACCCCTAAATCCCTAAA